ACGATCACAGCATCGCCATCACTGCCAGCGGTGCTGTCTGGAGCTGGGGCTTGGGAGCCAATGGCATGTTGGGCCACGGCAACCAGCAGAGCCGGCTGCTGCCGAAGAATTTCGAGGCCTTTGCTGACCAACGCGTGGTCGCTATGTCGGCTGCACAGCACCACAGCCTCGCCCTCACCGCCGACGGCGCCGTCTGGAGCTGGGGCGGTGGAGACTATGGCAAGCTGGGCCACGGCGACGAGCAGGGCCAGAACACCACAGGAGCCGCCTACGCGACTCCTGCGAGGACGGCGAGGCACTTAGCTCCGTGCACTCGACCGCCCTTGCCGCAGGCAAGCTCATTCACATAAACGCAAACAACTTATCCCACCATGCAGAGCGCATCTCTCTCTCTCTGTTGTGCGAAGCGTGAACCGCGCCATTCGCTCTCACCTGGGACCTGGCAACCCTGTCTGCACGTCTCGCGCGCGCGTGAACAGGGCTCAAAGCAGCCTCCAGCCGCTTCGACCCAGGCTGAAAGCTCGCAAGCTGGGCAAGGATGGCGCTGGCCAGCGCTGCCCAGCGTCTGCTGCGCAACAGCCAGGGCGATAAGCTGCTCTCGTACCTGCACACTTAGCGGGTGTGTGCTGGCGTCCGGGTCCCAGCAGCGGGGTTTCACGTGACGTGACGTATTTTCAGCCTCCGACCATACGCGGTGCGCTGTGCGTTGGTTGAAAGGGCCCTGCATATGATGGCGTCATCTCCCTGACGCTCGACGCACATCTGCTGCAGGTTGTGGCCGAGTTGTGGTGCTGGTGGTTGACAGCGTCCTTGCAATGCCGACACAGCCACCACTCCGTCCGCAGCTGCGGCATCGAGCGCCATTCAGCAGCCGGCGGTGTCTGACCGCGATGCGCTCGCAGCAGCTGCAAGGACGCCACAGCTAGGCAGTGAGCGAAAAAAAAGAATTTAGGTGTCCTCACAGTACTGGCTGACTCGGCGCGTGTTGTACAGCGCGATGATGCGCCACGGCGACAACCCGAAGCTCGCGCCAGCGGCCGAGGCAGCGCTCCTCGAGTCTCTCCGTGCGGAGCGCGAGATCAAGGCGCACGAGAAGATGCAGGCGGAGGCTCAGCGACTCGCAGTCACTCTCGCCGCACTCGATTTGCGTGAGCTGCCGGCAAAGGCGAAAGACCTGTCTGCGGACAAGAAGTTTGGCGAGCTAAGTGGTCATGCCGCCATGGCGATCACTCTCAACACGATCCTCCGCCGCGTCCCGCACAAGACGGACGGGGACGACAAGAAGCCGAAAAAGCCTGCCGGGAAGCCAAAGGCGGGCGGCGGCGCAAAGGTCACCAAGGTGGTCGACGTGCCGCCCTGCACTGCCGCCGAGGCGCGCAAGGTGATCCGGGCCAACAAGGTAAGCCTGGCGGCGGCGTGCGACGGGCCGGCCGCGCAGCTGGCGCTGCTGCGCGCGGCGCAGGCGTGGCTGCTCAGCGCAAACGGGGCCGTCGCCCTGCCAGGCGCGGCAAAGGTGATCGAGGTGCTGTACGACCTCGACCTCGCGAGCGAGGGGGTGCTGCACGAGTTCTGGGCGCTGGTTGGCGCGAGCGCGCAGCGGGACGCCACCTCCCTCCTCGCCGCCAAAGAGGCGCGCTCCCCACGGCCCGCCCTCGCCCCCTCGCCGGCTGTGTGGGGGGAGAGCTTGGCCCGCCCCGCCCGCACGCTGTTTGGGGGAGTGAGCCAACCCCGCCAGCTGTGTGGGGAGAAGCCTCACCTCACCTCTGGCCTCAACCAGGCGCTCGCCGAGGCGGAGGTCGAGGAGGCGGCCGCGGCCAAGGCGGCCAAGGCGGCCGAGTCGCAGCACGCTGAGGCGATGGCGAAGCGCAGGGACGCCGAGTGGTACGCGCAGCAGGCGCGCTGCGGCGGGAATCCGAGCAAGGAGGACGAGATCGCGGAGAAGGCGGCCAACGCGGCGATGAAGAAGGCGGTCGACCTGCACGGCGCCGCGCAAAACATCACCGCGGCGCGCGACAAGACGCTGGTCGCCAAAAAGGCGGAGCTGGAGGCGTCCAAGCGCGCGCACGCCGAGCTGCAGGGGCGCGTCGACCACGCGCTCCCCTTCGTGACGCACGCGAGGCCCTTCTTCGACTGGCTCGCCGCGAGCGACGACGACGACGACGACGACGACCCGGGCGAGCACGCGAGCGAGGCATCGCCGGAGACGACCACAAACGAGTGACGGATGACGGTGTGACGCCGACGGCCACCCCACACACAGACTGATGCAACCAGAGTGCGTGGCGCGCTCGCCCTCTTGCGGAAAAGATTGGTGTTTAATTTTGCTCAGCGATTACTTCTGGCAACTTGTTCGGCCCTTGCTTTCGCTCACTCACCTCACTGGACACTGCCCGAGACCGCCCACAGATGCCCACGCCTCGATCTTCTTGGGCAGCAGCTGGTTCGACACGTCCTCTCCGTGGCCTAGGCAGGCGTGATCGCCCTTGCCCCAGGTAAAGACAGCGCCGTTGGCAGTGTTGGCGAGGCTGTGGCTGAATCCAGCCGACACAGCGACGCTGCCCCTGAATCCAGCCATAGAGCCCCAGCTCCAGACGGCGCCGTCAGCGGTGATTGCGAGGCTGTGGAAGCGGCCAGCCGACACGGTAACGCGCTGACCGGCAAAGGCCTCGATCTTCTTGGGCAGCAGCTGGTTTTGCTCGTCGCCGTGGCCCAATTGGCCTTCGCCTCCACGGCCCCAGCTCCAGACGGCGCCGTCGGCAGTGAAGGCGAGGCTGTGGTCATCCCCTGCCGACACAGCGACGACGCGCTGGCCAGCAAAGGCCTCGACCTTTTTTGGCAGCGGCTGGCGCTGCGCGTCGCCGTGGCCCAACCTGCCGACGTCTCCACTAGCTCCAGACGTTGCCATCGGCGGTGAGGCGTGGAAGAGGAGCGAGACGGCCGCGGCGCGAGCGATGTCGACGGGGTCGCAGCGAGAGGGCGCGCACGAGGAGGTCGGTGGGGAGGTCGAGGAGGTGGGCGGGCGGCGGCGTGCTCGGCGAGGGAGCGGCGGTGGCGGCGGCGGCGTGGCGGCGCGAGCGACGGCACAGGGCAGACATCACACTTAGCTTGAGACAAAAAAGAATTTAAACAGAAGAACTCTCTCTCACAGCACACAGGCTCGACACAGGTGCGAACTGGCGCGTGCTAGTACTTTCACCGGCACACCCAAAAAAGAAAACCCACGCCCGGTGCCACGCTCTGACCCACGACAGGAGATCTGCATGGCGGCGGGCAGCACAACGTCGCAACCTCGCGACGCCGCACCGCCTGATCTGAACGACGACGGCAACATCGGGAGATCTGTCCCGGAGAGATCTGTGAGACTGGCGCGAGGTGACACGGATGGCGCTTTGCTGAGCGGCAATCCAAGCTCGAGCCTGAGCTCCTTTTGCGTGCGACATTCTGTGATCGCGGTATCCGTCCTCAATCTGGCCGCTGGTGCCCTGGTGTCTTTCTTCGGCGGCGTCATCTTCAAGTTCTCGCCAAACATCACCGAGTCCGGAGGCGCGTCGCTGCTAGACGACTTGTGGATCACGTATTTATTGACCATCGGCGTCTTTGTCTTTTGCGCGCTCGGCGCGTCCCTTTCTCGGGCGAACCGCTCCGCGCTCTGGCATCGGGCGACGCCACGCTTTTTGCTGCTGCTGCTATTTCCTGCGGCGATGGATGTGGTGATCACCGGGCTTTCAAGCCTCGCGCTCGCCTTCGCCGACCCGTCCTTGGTCACGATGACCAAGACCACCACCCAGCTGCTATTCCTCGCCTTGGCCACGCGATTGGTCCTGAAAAAGGCGACGAGCATGGCGCAGTGGATCTGCCTGATCGCCGCCGCCGCCGGTGTGTCCTTCTGCGGGCTTACGACCGTCTTCAAAGCAAGCACAGGAGTGCATCACACTGCCGCCGACCAGGCCCTCGGGCTGCTGCTATCATGCCTGGCGGGTTTGCTCGGCGCCGCTCGTAATCTCGTCGAGGCGGCACTGCTGGGAGACGCCAGTCTGCCACCAAGCGCTCTGCTCTTGGCAGAATCGGCACTGTCGTCAGCAGTCTGCGTGCCCCTCACCCCACTGATGCTGCTAAACCCGAGGAACAGCGCCGCGCTCGACACGCTAACTGCCGTCTTTGTCGACCAATCTTGGGCACCGTGCACGTTCGCACTCTACTTGATCTGCGCGTACGGAAAGGACGCCGGTAAGTTTTGGTTGATCAAGCACTCCAGCCTGCTGCGGCAAAAGCTGCTAGCCCTGACGTTTCCCTTTGGAACGTGGCTCTTCGGCATTAGCGTCTATTACGGCGGCGGCTGGCGCCTCTTGCCGCCTCAAGGAGTTGAGGTCGAGGTTCCGTCGTCGCTAGTCCAGCTCTTGGGATTCGTGATAATTTTGCTGTCCAATGTTGCCTACATCCAACTCAAGGCTCCGACCGCGGCTCCGGCCTTCTGCCCCCGTCTCGTCAAGGAGGTCCTTCGGCTCGCCAGACCGTGTGCTGCTCCTTCCCCCGCCCCGGAGGAGGTGCTCGTTGCGAGTAGACTTGAGAGTGCCAGTGGGACCGAGCTCCAAGTCACATGCTGAGAGCTTGATTGGTTGATATTTATTTCACTTTTTTACGGCTTCCACCAATATTTTACATGTGCATGTGCATATTGTGCATGTAATTCTAATCAGGTCATGCAAAACGGGCCCTGAGTGTGACCGAAACGCGTACACCGGCACATTGTCGGCCGATGCGCGGCTCGCCGCCCACCCCACGCGGTCCCTAGGTGTTATATAGCATAAACACCGTCCGTGCGGGGCTCCTAGGCCATCACTGGGTCCACAGTGGACGGACACACAGCCTCAGCCGGCCCGGCGGGCTCCCGACCAGAGCCCGTCCGGAGGCCACAAACGGACACTCTACCGACCTTTACACCCCTAGACAACCCACCCCGACTAGCACACGGTGTCGGCCCGACCGCCCTGCGGCCCCAGCTACCAGCTGGCGCCGCTCGGCCCGGCTGGAGGCGACTGGGGCGCCCAAAATCGCGGAGCCACCAGCCTGAATGCGATGTACGAGTTGCCGTTGCCTCCAGAGTTGCGGTAGAGCCGACACTTTGTGTTGCACGGCATGAGATCAATAAAGCCATCATTGTCGATGTCAAAGGAAGTCAGGCCATACCACCTGTTGCCCGTCAAGGACGCGGAGCTCGCGAGGCTCGGCCCGCTCGCCGTCGGCGACCACGTCGAGCTGACCAGCCGACACCTGGAATCAAGGAGCCACGACCTGATCGACGACGACGCGGTGCACGCGTCGTAGTTGCTGCAGCACCAGGTGAGCCAGTCGTCGTCCGCTTTGCTACGCCCTGGGTTGTTGAGGCCGCCATCGGCGCCCGGCATGCGGACCCAGCTGCCGTCAGCCGTCTGCGTCAGGATGACGGCATTTGAATTGCACAGGACGAGCAGGTCGAGCGTGCCATCGAGGTCGTAATCAGCCGCCTGGGGAGCGGTGCTTTCAGTGAGGACTGTTGGCTGGGTGCCTATGCAAGAGCACGCGGCGCCTTCATGTCCACGGCTGAAGAGCAGCCGGCCATTAGCGCGGTGTTCGTTCCGAGAAAGGGTCTAAGGTTGTCAGCCATGGAACGGAGCCCGACAGGCGAGGAGTAAAGAAGGTCGACGCCGCCATCCTAATACGGGTGCCGTGAGATGGGCGTTACTCGTCACTCAATGGGGGATGGGGCGGAGGAATGAGGAAGACGGACCGTGAGCAACGCGTAATCAATGAGGCCGTCACCGTTGAAGTCGCCAGTGCTGAGCGCCTTGAGAACACGCCCAATTTTTCCACGGTTGCTCCACTGGCTTCCAAATATGGGCCACCACCCCGGTGTGATATCCGCTAGCAATCCCCTCGCCGCGTCCCATTTGTACACTGCGAGCATGTCCTGGCCCGAGGTCGATCGCGGGATGTCAATGAGGACAAGAAGCTCTTGCGCGAAGCCATCCTACAGGCATCATTTGGCTTGCTTGTCAGGGAGGCCCTGAGCCGAGAATAGGCCCTCCGCGTGCTGCCTGGTCAAAGTCGGTCATAAGAGCGCTGCTGCTGTACACCGCGAACTGGGGCACGTACGCAAAATTCCTCCTCGAGGCCGCCGTCGGCCGGTTCAGCCAGAGCCGCGAGGGGATCGCGTTGTCGTCGTTGCGGTCCTTATTACACGATATGATGTCGAGGAGGCCGTCACCATCCACATCGGCCACAGCCACGTTGTACCCGCGGCACCCCCTGCAGAGGAGCCCTGCCTCCCTGGCTGTCCCGCGGCCGCCGACGAGCCGGCCGTCGGGCGTCCCCCAGAAGAGGCCGTTTTCTGAGTGGTACGACGTGTCGGTCCCACCGACGGCGCCTTGCGAGACGTAGAGGTCCAGCAGCCCGTCGCGGTCAAGGTCGAGGACCGCGCCGCCGTGCGCATCGAACTTCTCCTTCATTCCCTGAGGTGGTTCAGGTTCATGGTAGCCTACGACGTACCCAACGACGCCCACCGCGGCCTCGAGCCGTTGACCGCCGCGATTGAGGGCCAGGTCCCTACGTCAACGAGGAAATGCTGACCGGTGGGGGAGAGTCTAGAGAGCCCTCTCATAGGTGCACTGCTAGCGCGCCAGTGCGTCTCACAAGACTCATACTTGACGTGGTTGGTGGCGAAGATGTCCATCCAACCGTCGCCATCCCAGTCGACCAGGTAAGGAGCGCCAAACTTGTGGTAGTGTGAGGCGACGTGGCCCTTGGCCCGCAAACGCTCGTCGACGAGCACACGGCTCGACAGATCCCAAAACTGCGCCCCCCCCGCCGGACTCCTGGGTGGCGTCGCGTATAACGGCGATGGGGATGGCAGCGGCGGAGCCGGCGAAGCGGATGGCGAGTACGGCAAGGTGTAGTATAGGTAGGTTGGCGAGCACGTACCATTTGCGTCACACGATTGCGAGGCGGGTCGCGGCGCCCATTTTTGCGCAATCTCGGGACCGAGGTGAGACCAGTGCGAAAGGCGTCGAACGGCCCTACCTAGGCCATCCGAAGAAAGAAAGAAATAAAACAGCCAAACCCAACCCAAGGGAGGGATGGGACCATCCGCGCACGAAGTTTCGCTTTTATGTGGCGTTCTCTCGTGGGGGGTAGGGGGGGGGGGGGGGACCCCGCCCTCCGCCGCGCTGCACGTTGAAGATGAGCGCGCGCGTCACAGCGCAGGCCAGGTCTACACTGGCCGCGGCACCAGCTCCCGCGGTCTGCACGCTAGGAGTGGTCCGCCCTCGCAATGAATGCGGAATACTATTACGAAAAGTACAACTAGTGCGACACACTAGTCAGTCTCGTAATCGCGCCAAGAGCGCGGATACACACACAAACAACAGGCGCGGCTATGAATAGCTGCGCATATACAGATAACGACTGTTCACAGTTGGGAGAGAGAGAGTCGTCTCTAACGCTCCCCCCTAGTTGCATCGGCAACTATCTCGGACGACTCGCGCGTCCTCGGCGAAGGGGTGATGACTCACGCCTTGCCGACGGTCGCGACGAGCTTGCTCCACAGCCGGGCAGCCTGCCCCTGGAGCGTCACAGCAAAGCCGGGGCCGTTGCTGGCGTTGAGCATGTAGTCGCGACAGGTGAAGAACATAGCTCGCGTCGTCTGCGTCTTGGTGAAGACGTCGGCGATCATATAAGCAGTGCCGACGAGGTACGGCGCGACGTGGCGGAGCATGAAGAGGCGCTTGACAAACATGGTGGCACGTTCGTAGTAGCGCGTGCGAGCCGTAGAGCCGGGCTTGACGATGATGTCAAAGACGGCTTTGCAGTCACCGAGCTGGGGCGTGGGTCCTGCGACAGCTCGGCCAGCGTCCTCGAGCATGAGCCGGCAGGAGACGACTTTCTTGGCGGCGACGGAGGCGGTGGCGGTCTCCTCTTCGGCGACGCTGAGAGCCTCGATCTTGGACTTGTTGGCGCTCCAGTCGATGGCGCCGTTGTTGAACATCACGACGCATCCGCCGTAGTGTGGCGCCTTGCCGAAGGAGGCGTCATGGTAGGCGTGGAGGCCACGAGACTCGATGAAGCCTGGCGGGAAAGTGTCGAGTCCGTAGGGGATCTTGAGCTTTCCGCCGTAGGTGATGCCGAGGTGCTTTGTGGCGTTGAGATAGTTGATGACGGTCATGATGGCGTCACGATGGACGGCGCCGCAAGCCTGAGAGAAAGAGCCGAGCTTCGAGAAGAAGTACTTGATGTCGGGGCGCGTCATCTCGGCAGGCCACCCGATGGTTCCTAGCGGCTTCAGGAACTCGGTGACGGGGATGCGGTCGCACTCGGCAGCAGGCTCGAGCTTATCGAAGAGGGCGCGCTGGACGTCGGTCGAGCCGGCTGGGGTGGACTGAGCACGAGCGCCAATCTCGTTGCCGTAGAGGGCGGCAATCCGCTCGATGTACCGGGTCTGCCGAATAGTGAGCGTGCGGTTGGCTCGGTCGCGGAGTACCTCGATTCCGGTGAAGACGGAGATGGGGACGATATCGAGCGTCGCAATCTTGATGTACGTTCCATATTCCTCTTTGAACCGGACGTACTGGTCGGTGGCAGAAGCGGCAAAGCCGTTTGCGACGTCGTCTGCAAAAACAACGATGATTAGGCGAAAGGCTGGGTGGCTGTAGAAGTTTGGCTCGGTGAGCGAGGCGACGCAGCCAAGCTTGACGAGGGCGTCCTGGTTGAGTTTGAACCAAAGGTAGGAGCCCTGTTTGATGCCCTCGAGCGCTTTGAGAAGCATGAGCACAAAGCCCTTCTTGACGAACCCGGGTGGCATCTGGGTGTAGATCTCGGCATCGACGTCAGCCTGAGTAAACGCCTTGACGCCGTCGGCCGTGTCAGTCTCGAGGTCTTCGTCGGCGACTATGGCACACCATAGGCGGAAGGCTGTTGCGCTCAGAGTGCGCGCAAAACACTCGTGGTACTCCTTGCCTTCACGTTGTCCAAAGCCTTTCCCAACGAGACGAGCCTTGACCTTGGCGATGCTGCCGTCGTCATTGAAGACAAAGGTAAAGACCCACTTGACTCCAATGACGTGCATCCACGGCTCCTGTCGGACAACGTCCCACGCTCGGTTGACGACGTACTTTCCGTGAATCTCATCCTCCATAGCACGTTTGATGAGAGGCCAGTAAATAGACTGGCGAGCCTGTTCGACTGTTTTGATGTCGGGCATAGTCTGTGAAGCGACGGACTGGATTGCAAGCGCTATCTCGATTGGCGGCGGCTTGCAGCCTGTGTCGTTCCAGACGCATGCGACCTCGGTGTTGTCGTCGTCGATGAAGGCTGAGTAGGCTATCTCTGCAAGCCGGTCAGTTGCGAGGCGGGCAATAGTCTGTTGCCCACTGGCAAATGCGGCGCAGCCGACGGCGGCATAACGCCGTACAAGGGCTACGGTGCCGTCGCTGGCTGTCGGACCATCTGCGTTAGCGGCTCCCCCCTGGTCTGGCAGGCCAACTGGGCGGGCGGGCGGGCGACGCGCAACAAAGTGCTTGGGCAGGAAGGCACCGGTGGCGCGGCCGAAGGGGAAGTCACTCTGCATGTATGTGATTGGCGTGTCACAGGAGATGGTCTTCGCGATCGTGAACTTGTTTTCTCCGCACCACGACGTGACGCGGTAGCTGCCGACGCGACGGAGCGACGGAACATAGGCGAAGTGGCAGCGGCGGTTCTCGTCGTATCCAAGGTGGCAAGCATCGGCCTGGGTGTGGCTGATCTTGTTATCCTTGTCTCGCAGCGGGATGAAAACAGTGACGTTGCAAAATAGAACTCGCGCCCATCCAAGCTCGGCTGGCTCGAGATTTGGATTTGCAAAGTCACGTGGCGAGATCGGGGGGGAATGCGACGTGTAGCGAGGGTCGGA